AAGTTGTCTTTACTTCCGTAACGATTTGTTGTGCCCTACTTTCTGATTTGCAGGTCAAAACTAACGGTATGTGCTCATACATTAATGCTGCTCGGATAGCCTTTTTATCATCCTCAAAATCTATGTCAAATCCCATAAATATATCTGGTTCTGAATATTCCTTAGTGTATGTATATTGTATGTATGTCATAGGGAAATAATCAATAAAAATTTCTTTTTTTTGGGTATGGCAAGTTTGACAAACCGGTACATCATAATAACCATTTCCTATTTTTGTCTCTATCATGTCAATAATTAATGAACACTCAGGAACCATTTCATGTAAAAGGAGTTCCCAAGCCATTAGACTATTTTGATCCGTGAAGCTTCCGGCTATAACGTGAATTGTAAAGATTGCAGAAGATGTCAGTTCGTCTATACCTGCTCTCGTCATGTTAGATAACAACGTCATAGGTCTTGACAAGTAATTGGTATATAAAAAATTAACATTGTGCCAAGTATCAAAATCACTAGTACGTCCTAAACGATGTAGAAAATATGTTTTCAAATATTTATAAGTTAGAAGCTTTGCCGGGATTGGTACATTCTGTTCATTTGTTACGGCACTGTCGATATCCAGTCTTGTACAAAGCTGTAGGTCCTTGCAGTTGTGCACATAAGCAGACGATTTGTGCGTAGAACACATGCTAACCGACATGCATGACTTGCAAACGACACTCAGGTCATGCTGGCGACGGCATATGAGACACGACTTTGCAAATAGCAATATTTGCTCTTCATATGACTCTAGATCGCGACCAAGCTTATTCTTGACTCTTTTCACATTAGCTTTCTTGAATTCAGTCCACTCCTTAAGTGTCATATTATAGGAGTAATATACTTTGTCACTCAGGCTTATTACAGCCAGACAAAACTCTTTGTGTTGCTCTCGATGCAATTGCAAGTGCTCTTTGCAGCAGTAAGAGATCAAACGGCACCACTGACATACTTGCAGATTCTCTGAAATTTTGCAAACATGACAGACGTGCGGATTGAAAAAATTATTATAATTTACGATTGCGTCTCGTATTGTGGATAATCCAGGATTCGACATCACTCTTAAAGCGGTATAATTGACGTACAAAAAATGATATTTTATAATGTTAATTATAAAATAATGTTTTGTAAATAAAACTTGTAATATTCTTCCTTGACACTGTACGAATATAAGTGAAATGTGGCTTGAGTATATATGTTAATCCTGCGACTGTTTGAAAAACACTAATAATATCCTTAGAAGCGTTCTTGCGTGTATCGTAAGGTCAATTGTATTTGTAATCAGAAATATAACGTACCATGCATATTTGTTGGTCGAAATAGAATACTTTGTATAAGCATAGTTTTACACACACACACACACACACACACACACACACACACACACACA